TTGATTAAAGAGCTGCGTTTTTTATGCAAATTATGCATATCTGGTTCCGCCGATAAAATATATGTAGTGCTGCTATATGCGATTAAAAATGTGCACACATCCATCCATCCATTAGGCAGGCGGAAGTGCATTAAACGAGATTGACACTCACAATGGCTGGCTGAACCATCATTTATTGATTGCATGCTGTAAATTTGCAAGTATTAAACGAAAAGGGAAATAATACGCTGCCTACGCTGGCACAAGAAGTCTCAGACGCTGGCTGATTGAGCCCAGAAGTTTGCCAGCCCAGCGCTGGCTGGGAAATTAAATAGAAAGCCCTGCGCAAGAAGCGAAAGACCAACACGAAGAAGTCGCCGTTTGACAGAGAAAGAGGTGGGGAGGTGGAGGGAAGAAGGAAAGGGAGGGGAGACAAGCACAACCTACTTACCTAGTCGAGTGTCTGAATGTCTGTGCATTGAATGTGCCGTGGATAATAAAAAAAAAAAAAAACAGCAGCTAACGTAGAGGCAACTGGGCGTGGCTTCTACCCTAACTCAATATCTATGTCTGTGTGTCTTTGTGTGAGTGTGTGTGTGTGCTCTATGGCGTATGATGGATTTATGTTTAAGTTGCGTGCAAGCAACTTAATGGATTTTGTAATTTTCAAAAAATGCTCAAACTTAACAGGAGCAACGAAAGTAGAGAGCGAGAGAAGTAGAGGGCGAGATAAGGAGACAGAGAGAGAGAGAGAGAGAGAGCAGCAGGCAAGTCACGTTGCTGGCAAAACTTTTGTAGCAAAAGGTAAAACTAACTATCTTGCAGATACAAGATACTTTACTCGTGCCACTCGCACAGATGCCATTTCGAATTTCGAATGGCTTGGCTGGCTGGCAAATGGAGACCGCACCAAGCGCCGCCGCTGCCGCATTTCTATCTGCGGCTGCCGCCGCCTTGCGCCAACGAATTGGAGCATGCCGAGCTATAAAAAAAATTGTTTCTTGAGCATCGTATTAAATATGCGCACATAAGCATGACAACACAAGCCGAGCTGCTGCTGCTGCTGCTGCTGCTGCTGCTGTCTGCTGTGCGCCTCTCATAGCAATGGCAGCCAAAATAAAATACATAACGAAAACAAACATTGCGGAAAACGAGCCGAAACTTGAATGCGCTTCAAGACGCGCTTCCTGAAAATGAGATGTTATCAAAGTAAAGATTGAAAGCAATAAAGATATTTCTCTATTGCTAAGATATTGAGTTTGTCATATTTCATGAATTTGAGATATATTTCTATTGTCTATATATTGTGGATATATGAGCTTATTCATTGTAGAAGTTTAGTTTACGTTTCAGATACATTTCTCCTATATGCATATCGTATATAATTGATGACGTAGCTGTAAGATAATTCCGTTTATAAGTTTTTAGTTTATAATATTTCATTATTTGCATTTTGCATCCCTAAGGCTTACGCGACCAACATATTTGATTATCACTGTCAAATTTAGTTATTTAATTGTTTAGATTGTGATGATCTTCATATGAATTTATGCATAGACAGAAATGTGTTCCTTAACAGTTTTGTATTTGTCATGAATTCTTCTTTATTGTGACACATTTTAATTCTTTTCAAGCGACATTGGATGTTCGTCACTTGTCAGAACTGAAGTTATAAATTATGTTAGCTATAAATATTCATGCTAAAATAATTATATTAATGATGCAATAATTTTTTCATTTTGTAGATTTTTTAATTTTTGAAAACACGAATAAACCTAGTTTGTATAATTTATTGGTATAGTAATTTTCTTATACAATATAACATATAATTTATTCATGTTCTACATTATTTAAAAATAAAAAATATTCATTTTTTAGTTTTCGCTTTTGATTACGCCCAAGTCACATTTAAGCCGATCTCTCAAAATTGTCAGCCGCATTCCAAGATTCCAAGAGACCTTCGTTTTGGCAACTTCGTTATGCCCATAGCTATAATACCCATTTTTATAGCTGTGAGCGAAGTTTATATACATACATGCACCTTTATACACCTATATATGTGTATGTGTATCAGCAGTCGCTTGGGTATATCAAAGTCAGTCTTCAGAAAAGTTGGCTGGCTTATTAAATATTAATTATGGCACAAACAGTGAGCACAATGAGATGCGCAGCAGCAGCAGCAGCAGCAGAAAAATAGTTGAACAAAATAAAACAAAACAAAATAAAATATCCGCTACATTTATGGCTTGAACCACTTCTAGCATTGGTTGTCTACTGTGGCCTGAGCCACTGGGCGGCAGATGGGAGCCACAGCCACGAGCTCGCTCATCAGCAGCGTATATTTGGTCATAGATACAAAACGAGCTGAGACTTGGACTGCGACTGAGACAGCGCCTATCTGTAGCAGGGTCAGATGCGGGGAATAGCTCACACAACACAGCGAGAGCTGATCACGTGGGCGGGCATCCCAGCAACGTGCACTTGCGTATATCTGCCGCGATTAGCAATTCTAATTGCTGCTGTTGCAGCTGCTGTTGCAATTGGCAATGGGCAATTGCCAACAAGTGAGATTCGCGGCCCAAAAATCATCTTTAGTTTTTATGGCAGCATCCGCCTCTATACAATCAACTTGATGATGATCATCATTATGATCATTATGATAATGAAACGTGGGCGTGCATCGATTAGCGTGTGTTGCTTTACACAACAGACTGTATATATTACAATAGATCTACTATTTAGAGTAGCTAGTCAGCCAGTCGATTTCCATTTGAAGACAGCGCCATTCGCAGGGGGCGTGCCCCAGCCTCCAGCTGACCCAATTCGAGTCGAGCAGGAATCGTGTGGTAATTATGTAGTCCGCCGCGCGGGCAACTCTTAAGTGGCGACAGTTAAATCTCAAAGCTGAAAGTTCAAAGCGAGAGCAAGAAATTGAAAATTGCCCTCGTGATATTGAGCTCCTATTTGGCAGATTTGAGAGGCGTGGCAGAGCTTTGTCTTTCGGTTTAGAGCAACAGCGAACAATAAAACGCATTTATCATTATACAAATTACATTTAATTATATTTGTTTTGCGCCAGCCTCAACAAAAAAACGCACCCAGTTTCCGTTCCACGGTTCCATTTTAGAAATGTATGGCAGAAAAACACCAAAAATGAATAGAGAGAGAGAGAGAAAAAATATAGAAATACAAAAACAATGGAAATGGATGTCGATTAGAGAGTCGCGACTCGGCTGGCTCTGACTCTGGCTCTGGCTCTGACTCTGAGCTCAGCAAAGCGTGCGGGAAATTCATTAGCAATATTTATGACTAGTATATTATACGTGTGTTTGTTGTCGTTGTCGTTGCTGTTGCTGTTGTTGAATTTTTACTGAGTAATTTCCTTAGCAGACCAACAAAGAGCGACAGCAGCAACAACTTCCACAACTACAACAACAATGCCATTATTGTTGCTGTCAGGGCTTTTGTTTTGCAAGAATTTGAAACGCAGTTGTTGTTGTGGCTGCGTTTTATATATTTACGTATGATCTGAATCGTAGTTAATGTTGTTGCTGTTGTTGTCGTTGTTGCTTTGTCGCTGCAGTGCGAATTTCATAACACATAACCTCACTTGACAGCGCACAGCGTGAAAACAAATTAAGAGAAAAAAAAGAAAAAAAAAAACAACAATTCGATATGGAAAATTTTTAAAATATTGTCAGTGCATGAATATGCAAAAATACAAAATAATAAAAATCCCAATATTTATTTAATTTATAGTTATCTTGTTTTATCTTCGAGCTTATGCAGTTCATTTTTATGCGCATGAGCACGTGCTTATATTTAATGCTGATGAGCTAATAATGAAATAAACACTATATAAACTCTATTATATTATAGAGTAAATGTAGCTGGCCAGCAGCAATAGCTCTACTCTTATGTCAACAATACCATCATTATAGCTATTATTAAAAGTGGCTAACCGAAGTAGGTGTCTCACTATAGTCCATGCAATAAAAGTAGCTAACCAAAACTGTGGAAAATGCTGCAAAGTGCAAATTCAGTAGTTAGCATAATAAATTATTCATACACATGTGTGTAAGTCTATCAAATTTAATTGAACAAAAGTTAGTGGCCTTTGCACTCTCGCTGTCAGCCTCCATTTTGTGTGTGCTGATGCAATATAGAAAGAACAGATACTTCGACTTAGAATAGATACTTTTCTGTTTTCAATCAAATTTGTCGTCTTCTGCTTGAGTGAACTACACAGAGATCAATGTTGTCATGTTAAAGCCGCAGATTTAAAACGGTGTACATAAGGCATAAAGTTAAATTATATTGCGCATACGCAGTGCTGGCCGCATTCAATAAATTCCAAATTGGCCGCATTTGGCCATAAATCTAGCACGCATCACAGGCACAATGGCCTATTTAAATACTAGCCATGTATTATGCATTATGCATTGTTTAACCAGTTGGTTTTGCATTTCTATTAATTATAAATCATGTGGGATTAGAACAGCTACCAACGCGAATCACCCTTGCTTAATGTCCCCCAAAAGTGCCGAGTCCTTCAACCCACATCAGCAGCAAGCCCTTTAGGTCGATATTAAATTTGAATTATGATTAGCAAACTCGTTGTTTTTGCTTTTGTTATTAATTCAAGTGTATTGCCAATACACATTTTGTGGCATGCCCCTTAAAGCAAGCCAAGCTGTTGCTGCTGCTGCTGCTGAGAGTTAGATGGAGCGTGTTGGGCTGGGGCATACTTAAGCATGCCCCCGCCTCGATTATTGTGTGCATAATTTGTCATATGCAAAGTGGGGCGATAGCTTGCTTAGAAACCTGCCATCCCACAGATACAGATACAGATACAGATACAGATAAAGATACGCAGGCGTCGATGGGCGACATATTCGAGTCGTTTGTCGCTTGTTGCCGCGTGTCCTTAGCACTTGGTTGGTGCGATGGCGCCATTATAATCCGCATTCATAGCCCTGGCTGTGTATTGTGCTCAAATATGTGCATATATTTGGTGCACAATGGCGACTATTATATTGCATGTAGCGCACGGTATGTGTATACATATGTATCTATGGATACTCAGCTTTAGTTATGTGCATATTCTTTAAATACAATTTGGGTTTGTTGTCAGCTCAATTTTCAAGTTGCTGCGCTTACACTCGACTGTCTATACATATGTATGCCTGTTCCATTCCCCTTCTCTCTGCGTGTGTGTGTGTTTTCATTTGTTTATTTGCCTTACTGTTGCTACTGCTGCTGCTATTCCCATTCAACTGTATTCAGATTCTTTTCTTGCCAGCAGCCAGCAGCAAGCAGCAAGCAGCTGCGGCGTCGCTCGATGGCTGCCAGTGATAACCGACAGCCAAATAGAGTTATATACGCAGCAAGAATTGCTGCCAGCAGAGTCTCTCTCTTGCTCTGTGGCTCTGTGACTGACCTACACAATTTGCATGCTGTTTGTTCTTTCATTTGACTCAGTTTTCTATGAGCTGCTCTCTGGCATATCATTATTCTAGCACAGGCACAGTCTTTGTTCTTGAACTCTGCTGTTCTTGTTTCTGTTTTTCTTTTCCTTTTCAATAAATTTACAATTCGTTCCAGTCAACTTTTATATAACCTGCCTTGACGTCGAGCCAAACTGGTTCGATTCAGAGCTCAGATTGAAAGTGATTATCGCACGCACAGTTTTATTAAAATTAAGTAACTGAATGCAAGAGAACTAAAGTCTAGGCTTAAATTAATAATTGATAAAGCATTTCTTTATTATTTAAAATAGTTTATTATATATATGATATGATGATAGAGATTCTCAAAACGGATTCAACTAGTAGTCTACTTATATTTTGTTATTGTATTATTAGCTGGTATGATAAAATAATGTTTATCTTTAATAATTCTATTCCAATTTGTCAACTGCTGGTGTCAGATTTGATTTATGTATACAAATTTGACTCGCAGTTGCACAGCGGACGATTCCATCATTCATTTTGAGCTAATATAATGATTGCATCGATTTCCGATGCTCTCTCTTGAGTTGTGGTCTGTCATGTCAATGTCAATGTCAAACTTTTGACCTATTTTAGACAGCTCTCGATTGTCATTCATGTTGTAGTAATGTTGTTTTCTTTGGCTTTGTTTGTCTTGCAGGTTAACTGAGTCGCCAACATAGCCAACTATCAGAACCAGAGCCTGTTGGGCAGCCATCACCATCTGCTCCATATCGCCGAACCACAATTGCAACTGCTGCCCGCAGTGACAACGACGCCGACGCCGACGCCGCCAACGCTGACGACAGCAGCATCGACAGCAGCCTCCATAATACCCAGCACCAACACCAACACCACGCCCATCGACAACCAACAACACCAGCGGCCAGTGTTTGAAAAAGCCATCACCATTTCGTCGATTGCGATTAAACGCAGGCCGACGCTGCCGCAAACGCCAGCGAGTGCCCCACAGGTGTTGTCGCCGTCGCCCAAGCGCCAGTGCGCCGCCGCCGTTTCGGTGCTGCCCGTGCCCGCAGCAGCAGCAGTTGCCGCGCCCGGTGCCCATCTGCAGTACGCCACCTCGCCGGCAGCAGCAGCAGCAGCAGCCGCCGCCGCCGCCGCAGCAGCAGCAGCCGCAGCGCTCAAGGGCCATCAGCTGAGCTTTGCACACCCCACACAGTTTGCGGCCGCCGTAGCCGCGCACCACCAGCAACAGCAGCAGCAGCAGCAGCAACAGCAACAGCAGGTTGCCTACGCACACCAGCAACACCAGCAGCAGCAGCAACAGCAGCAGCAGCAGCAGCGTTTGGCCCAGTTCAATCAGGCAGCCGCCGCCGCTGCCTTGCTCAACCAGCATCTACAGCACTCGGCCGTTGCAGCTGCCGCGGCGCATCAGCAACAGCAGCAGCAGCACGTGGCGGTGCTGCAGCACCAGCACCAACAGCAACAGCAGCAGCAGCAGCAAGCGCCTGCCCATTATAGTGGATATCAGCTGCGACACGCTCACGCACAGTACGCACCACAGCAGCAACAGCAGCACTTGGTGCTGAGCAACAGCAACACCAACAAGCAGCACCAACAGCAGCAGCAGCAGCAACAGAGCAGCTCAGCCGCCGCAGCAGCAGCTGCCCAGCACACACCAGCAGCAACCACTGCGCTAAGTGTTGCCACAGCAGCAGCAGCAGCAGCAACAACAGTCAACAGCAGCAACAATACCAACTCCCCGGGCAGCTCCACGCACGAGTCACAGTCGCACGAGTCGGCGCCGACGACTCCCTCGCCGGCAGGCAGTGCCAGTGCCGCAGCAACAGTCGCCAGCGACAGCAACAACAACAACACCAACACAACAACAACAGCAGCAACAGCAGCGACAGCAATAAGCAGAGAAGCCAGCATAATGGAAAATCAAATGGCGCTCGCCCCGCTGGGACTCTCACAGAGCATGGACTCCGTGAACACGGCCAGCAACGAGGAAGAGGTAAGTGCCACGTCCCAAACCCCCGTTACAATCACAATGCAGACAGGGCTCGTGTTATGCCGAGCCAACTGCGAGACAGCTTAGGGATTACGGTAATACGCAAAAGACAAACGAAAGCAAACAACCAGGCAACACTTTTTTCGAGCGAAATAGTCATCAAACTCGATTTGCGCCCCACCGTCGCTCGAGCAGCAATCGGCTGATCCAATGAACAATACAATGCCAAGTTCTTCAATGAAATATTGGCTTAGCATCAGGTTTCGAGTTGGCAGCGCAAAGGTAGTTAACAGGCGAGTGGATCAATCCACAGGTAATGTCAAAATAAAGTGTCTGTGCGATGACACCGCAGAGAATAAAGTTAGAAACTGATAGATTATCTTGGAAACTAAAAAAAATTCTAGTTTGTGAAAGCAGTTTCCCTGATATGAAAATATAATTATTTTACATGAAAAAAATATAAGTTTCTTTAAACAGTCGAGTCTCGGTAATTTGTACCCCCTAAATCGAGAATCGCGATAGCCCGAAAAAAATTCTATCCCCTTGAAAGAAGTTAGTTTTTAATAATTCTCGATAATTTGAATTTCAGTGTAAATCGAATAAAAACCATTCGAATTATCGGGATTCTACTGTATCACTTAGACATACGAGAAATTCTGTTTTTGTTTTGAGTAGAAACAATAATACATTTCGGATATTTGTGTTATTGCAATTAAAATTGAATAAAAAAGTAAACAAATTTACTAGGTTTCACTTTCATCTTGATAATTTAATTATTTTATGCTTTCATCATTTTGTAGCTTTGATATCTTTCAAATTCGCTCTTCTTACATAGAACTTATAGCTAACATTAAAGTACAATCTATAATAATAATAAAATGTAATGCAATATTCTACATTATAGTTTCTAAATTCATATAAGTATAACATACACTCACATATATTATATATACACATATATATTATATATATATATATATATACACATATTATATGAAGTAGAGCTCAAGAACCATCGATAGTGCTGACACACGATGATTGCAACCATGGATACTATCGGCGGTTCCGTCAGCCATTTCAACAGCTATGAAAACTAATTCCCTGCAGTCTGAGTTTATTATGTTTAAATACTAATGAGTAGGAGTACATATCATGTTTTTTCTTGGTTTAAGTTATCTAATATAAGCTACTTTATATTTCCCTAATTCACACTCGAGGATTGGTTCATTACGAGAGTTGTTTCAGTTATTCTCTAAGCAACACGATACAAACAGAATCTGGCTTTAACATCTCTAGAATGAATCTGTTATAGGTTACATACAATATTATTCTTGGCAAGTTAATGAAATCGAATAACATTTCAGTAACACGGCGAAAGTGCAAGCGCACATAATAAAGCGTTGGCAAACAAGTTCATGATCGATATCTGAAGTGCATGTATTATAATACACACACACACACACACACACACATACGTACACACATATTAATATATGTATATGTATAGTCCCATTCCCAGTGCCCATGTAGAGCTGCATGCGCTGGTTGCATCAGCCAGCAGCTCGGGCGAAAGATTTTGGTGGCATGGTTTTTGTTTTTCTTTTCATATTTTTTGTTGCTCTTGGTGGCTTGAAATATTGCATTACGTTGGCCAGAGCGCAGCAGTCTCAGCATGTTCATCCTCAGCAAAGGCTGCGCCGTGCATGGGGGCTGCTTTGGCCCTGCTTTGGCTGCTTTACTTTTGATTATGCGCCTTGTCTTGTGCTACACATTTTTCACGCTGCTTTTTCTCATATGGCGACGGCTTCCCACAGCGCAAACGGCGCGTAAGCCGACGGCACGTGCCCAACGCCCCAGCCCCACGCCTCAAATTCTCTTACTTAAACGCCCTCCTCTGCGAGAGTGCATATGTGTGTGTGTGTGTGTGTGTGTGTGCTTGTCTCTGCTCATGTCAAGTGCTACGTGGCCTTTCTTTAAGCAGCCCAGAGAGAGCATAACCGAAACTCAAAGCATTCAGAAGACTCTCTACATCCTCATAATCCTCCTCCTTCGCCTCCTCCACCTCCTCCAGCTCCTCCGCCGTCTTGTGCAGCCCTTGCAGAAATGCAAGCGATGCGTTAAATTTGATTTTATCCTTGACGCATAATGCTCTGCTGCGTTGCTTTTGTTTAGCGTCCTCAACCTTTGCCCTGATTATGTTTCTCAAATAATATTTATGATGCACTCCTCCTGCTGCTGCTGCTGTTCTGCGCGAGATGTCAACTAAAATTTATTTAAAGGTTTTTTAATGGTCGCGCAGCCACAATTGCATTTTTCAAATGAATGCGCAATCACAACAACTCCTCCGTCAACCCCTTCCACGGCTGCAGTGCGAAACGATGCTCCAAAAAGCGCATTAAAAATGCATCAATCACGTTCCTCCACTTTGGACTGCAGCTGAAATTGCCAAAAGTGGAGCACAAGATAAAGATGAGCGCGAGAACGTAAAATATTTGCAGCAGTAATTCTGAAAGCGAATTAACTCACATATCACTTGAATTAATCAAATTAAATATGAATAACACTGGCAAAAATCTGTTACAACTTATAAAGCCCATTACGTATGCAATTCGATGAATTTTCTATAGATAATAACAAGAAAATCTAAACAAATAATAAAACATATTTATGATTATAAATTCCCAATTAAATTGCTTAAACAGAAAAATAGAATATTTTATAAAAAATAATAAAAATTATCGAACAATAAATGTATAATTTTTTAAGATAAAATACTAAAAAGTAAATAAAGCAAAGTTGAAGGATCGCATTAGAAGTGCCATCTAGCATAATTTGATAGGGAAATATCAAACCACAATTTAAGAAAACTTAAAAACAAATTCTGAAATCATCTACTAAATTAGTATATATACATATATGTATATATAAATAAATCAAAATTATTAAACAACAAAGAATGAAAATTGAATGAACATTTTCAGATAGATAGATATACAAAAACTAAAAAATAAATTACTTAATGAATATGTTTTAAATACTATAGGTGAAAATATAAATATATCAAATAAATCTTGTAATACATTTTTCTTCTTGTGTATGCAGTTTAAGGATTAAACGTTTCGAGTATTTGTGTGTTGATGGCGCCATCTTGCATAACAGTACTGCACTCACTTTTGTGCGTGTGTGTGTAAATCCAAGGCGAGTCGTCGGCCTGGACAAACGGAGCCTCGAGTCTCTCGCACTTTTCTCACCTCTCGCATTCGCGCCCAGCCACTGCCTTCATTTGTATTTATGAATAACACTACCATATACAGTCTGTCTCCCTCCCACTCTCTCTCGCTCTGTGTTTCTCTCAGTGTACGCTCTGTTTGTGCGAGTGTGGCTCTGCATGAATTATTGATAAGTCAATTAAAAAAGTATGACAGCAACTGATGGCACTTAAATATTTCACACACACCCGACGAGCTGCCCTCAAGGATATGCATTACCTGTCGCTCCAGCAGATGCAGCTGCAGCTCCAGCTTCAGCTACAGCTCCACTTCTTTTCTCTCACTTAAACGTTTTATGAGCGCGCTGGCCGGAGCTTCAAGTGGCCATTGTCCGGCCCGGGCGCAGTTTCAGCTGCGTCTTGCAAAGGCCATTGGGCAGTCAAGTGTGTGCAACCTACCATAAAAAGTGTGTGTGTGACAACATGGCAGCCCTTCATCCCATGCCCGGCCATGCCCTGTCGTCTATTTGCAGCTTCCACATTTGATTTTATCAAAGTTGCAACAAAGCGCCATTCTCTATCCGCCCAGAGTGCCAGCCGACAAGTTTGTGGCAGCACGTCGTTAACCCGTTCCCCCTCCCTTGCCCCTCTCGCAACGCCACGCACGAATGCAAAAATATAAAATAAACTTAATAAAACTTGTCACAGATGTTTCACTCCGCCTCGCCTCCTGCCCGCCTCCTGCCCGCCTCCTGCCTCCTGCTCGGGCTGTCCAGCGCGCTGCAGCGTTTGCATTTTAAGCGTTGCGCACAATTAAACTTTTAACTTTCTGCCAGAGTTTTCGACAAGAAAAATTTGCTTTACCTAACGTACGGCCGCAACGTACTAACACCCCCATCCCCACTCCCATCGCACCACTGCACCACCTCTTCCGCCCTGCAGCATACTCTGCAATTTTTGTCATGTAGTCTCGACGGAGGAAATTGCCAAGTGGCAAAATAGCTGTCAAAATGCTCTTTCTTTTGCAACACTCACTCTCTCTCTCTCTCTCCATCTCTCTTTCCCTCTTATTCTGCTGCCCCTCTCTCTCTCTCCCGCACTCTGTTGTTATTTCCTGAGTTAGTTTTAGTTTTGCAGTTTGACATTTTTGTGCTTTATCATGTTGTCGCATGCAAACAAAGTTGCATAGTGTCCAGGCTGACCGCCAGGTGTCGCTGCAAATCAGCCTTAACCTTTGCACTGGCAGCTGGCAATGCCGCGCAGCCAGCAGCAACTGTTGCAGCTGGCAACGCCATGCAATACGACGCGAATTGTTGGCTGCCTCTTGAGCCTTGCGGCTGGTGTGGCGACTCCTGCTTCGCAGTGTCTGTTGTGTGGCAAATGCAAATCAACATTTTGCTGCTGCTGCTATTTTATGTTGTTTTTATTTTGGTTGCTCTGCTGCTGCTCGGCACGTTGCATGAAATTGCTGTCCAAAAATTTATTTGTCGCCTTGACATACGCCACAGCTATAAATATACCAGTAGCGCAAGCGACCGATAGAGAAAGAGAGGGGCACAGTGGGACAGAGGGAGAGAGAGAGCGGAGCCTGGCTAGAGAGCAAATATTGCAGACAAGGCGATTGGGGCAAGCGAACCAACTTTTGGCTCAATGAATTTCTAAACAACTTTTGTATGTCCCCAGGGGTTTGGATACACATACACACACACACACACCCGCACTCCAATACATAAACACACACACACACACACACATAGAAGTAAATAAGCGGTTGCCCCTCGTTCGTTTTCGCTAA